AGCTGTGGAGAAATAGAATCAAACATCTTTAAAAAATAACATGCTAGCCTTCTGTGGAAACAAGATGATCCATATTTTGTTTGTCCCCTTGAACTGAATACAATATTTTCAGTTTGCAGCAGTTTTATTGTAAATAAAACCTCACCTCTTTGACAAGTTGGCCAGTTTGCTGCTGACTCAGCAGTGCTGCACATGTGGGGCTTATCAACACCTGCTGAACTTCCCTCTGTGGCTCAGTTTCACATCCCTGTGGACACGATTGCTCAGCTGCTGTCGCTGTATCTGCACGTTTCCAAAAATCCTCACCATCAGATAGCACCACTGTTGAAGAGGAGTCTTCGCTCTGGAATCCCTCTACAGATATTGGTGCGTCTGTCGCCCCTAACCAGAGGGACAAAGTCAATGGTTACATTTGTTCTCTCTTCAGTTTTTCGAAAGCTGGTTTCAGAGGAAGGAAAACACAGCTGCAAGTCAATTAGTCAACTTGAATCCAATTGGAAACAAATGGAAAGAAGTGGAGATCATAGTGGAGAGGAGTTTAGGCTTCAATACCTCAGGATCAAAAGAGTGGATCAAAGTCACACCTCAGCAATGTATCCAGGGAGACGTCTTGAAGTCACAAACATCTGGGCTGGTGACATAACTCACCATTCTCATTGGTTTCCACAAGAGGGTGACACTGGGCTTCTTTAGTTTCCTCCACCTGCTCTGGAGGATTTGCAGATGCTGCAGCAGGTGAAGAAGAGGGTGAAACGGGGGTGCGAGGGGATGACGGGTCTAAATCGGCCGGGCTTTGCGTTCCTTCTAGCTCCTGTTGAGACGTCGGTTCTTGTTCACGTGACTCTTTGGAGTCTTCCCGCTCATCTTCTTCGTTCTCTGCAACGGAGCTGGAGCTGCACACAAAGGGTTAAATGTCGACTCAAATTACAATGATCACATTTTATTTCAAACTTTATTCCTGAGCCTAATGAAATCTGAAATGAAAAGAATATAGCGCACTGGAAACTTGTGTCAACTTTAACGAGGTCCATAGAGAATAACATGAAGCCTACTACCTTTGGTCTTTTTGTGTATGGTTGGGCTGCACTTTTTTAAAAACTGCTTGCACCCAGTTGTGCTTCTTTCCAGCGGTCATTGCACACAGTGTGTACACCCCATCTTTGATCTGTGATAACAGAAATAAATATTAATTTCCAGCATCCTGTCCTGACTCATCTGCAGGGTCTTAAAGGTGTACACACCAGGTAAAATGATCATGTTACATGTAATCAAATGAGACCATAATTTAATACCAGTTTTCAAATTGCAAAGTAACACATTTTCCGACAGTAATCATTCCTAAAACAAATAAAACTCTTTGAATAAAAGACAATTTAAATAACTCAGTCCATATCCTTAAACTCATGCTTGATTCCAGAGGGAGCATATTCCAGCTGCATCTTAATTATTCTGTTCATCCTGGCAAAGGTCCTCCAAATCTATTCGATTGCAAGGACATTCTTTTAAGGTCAATGCACAGATTTTCTTCCAGAGTTCTGGATTCTGGCTAACCTTCACCATATTTTCTTGAAATCATTTTGTCTCGATTTATTTTGACTCACTGTGATGCTAAAAAATTAAAACCTTCCTTTTCTTTAACTTTCCAGTGAATACATGTGTGCAACTTCAAATGACAATTGAGCAATTAAATTAAAGTACATATTGCACCTGCTTCTTTTCTTTGGTGGTCTGGTGATGACATATAGCAGTCGAGACCACAGAGGAGGAGGATGGAGTGGAGCTGCTGCATAGTGTTAACGATGGCAAGGACACAAAAAAGATGCATTTCAGAGAGAAAACACAAAAGAAAGACTTGCAAAATCTAAGTATTCATAAATAAAAATAAAGCTTAACCTAATTCTCTCCACCGAAGAAGATTTCCTCCCAGAATCCTGTGTTTTCTTCCCAGTACTTTGTCCTTTTCTTACTTGTGAACTTGCACTGGTATCTTCTGTGAAGTCAGAAAACCTCATGAATATCAAAGCATCTCAAATATGATTTTTCTCAAAATCATCATAACCCCTGCATCACGTGACCTCGCATTTTTAAGGAAACCCAAATAATTAGTAGAAAGTAGTAAACAGAGCAATTACCAGTGGGTCGTTCATCAAGTCGGCTGAGTGAGCGGCTGCTCCTCATGAACGGAGCGGCGGTCAGAGAAGAGGCTTGCAGGGAGGAAAAGCTGCGGCTGCTCCGCAGACGGAGAGCTGGTTTTGCTGGTTCTGATGTTGTTCTAGTTGTCTGGTGGCTGCCGCTGCCTCTTCTACCAGCAGCTTTACTCCCAGTTGCTGTCGAGTCACTTCCTTTGCTGCTTTTCCCAGCAGCAGTCCTTGGAGCGCTGCTGGAGTTCTGCTTGCCTCCAACACATCCTCTGAGCTCCTTTAAGGGAAAAAAAAAAGTGAGTTTTCTCAACAAAAAATAAATAAAAATAAAAAAAATGTCAGATGTAATTCTAGCTCCTTAGTTGAAATATCAAACACCACACCACATGCTCAGCCCAACCTAGCCTGGGTGTTTTGACACATGTAATCCAATAAACCCAGTGGAAGAGGCTTTTAATCCTAACAAGAGCTCTTAATTTACTTAAGTACCATCTGACCCACACCGAGGCCACAGACAGAAACAAACACACACACACACACACACACATACTTTAAACTTAATCACACTTGATCAAATGAGAGCCACCACATATAGGGAGTGCACTCCACTGTCTGTAGATGCAACCTCAACAACTGCAGAGGCAATGAATCTGTGGCTGGAGCACAAGGCAGAGAAATCAATGGCAGAAAGGCTGAGGAGGCCTGACTTAGCGATTTGTGCAGACTGTAAATACACCAAGCTGATCTTTAGCCATTTATAGCAGCATAAATCTGACAAAACACATGCAGATCTCACATTATAAATCTGAAGTAGTTGTGTTCATTTTAGACGGCACTTTCACGACCACAGGGAATATTGTTAATGGTAAAACTGATATAAATGGTATTGTTTGATGAAATTGAGATTCGTATTGACAGATACAATGTATTCCCAATTGCTGGATGACCTATGGTTGTATAAAAAAATTATTTTCTTATTTTATTTAATACAACTATTTAGTATTTCTACTGGAATTACTTGAACACAAGCTGGATTTTCACATGATAATACTCACATTTTCTTTGTCTTTTTGCAAAGGTTTGTTGATGTTTGTGGTTACCACTGCCTCATTCGATCTGCTATAGACACAGACAGAAGATAAATCATCATGGAAACCTTCACATATATACAAGTGTCAGTGCAGACTTGTTCATAGGAAATTGTCTGGGATGTCTTTGACTTGATTTTGAGAAAAGCTAATCTCTCTACGCAATCTATGAAGATACTTCCAAAAGATGTTCTCACTTAAAAACAAACAAGAAATGCTCCTTCTATGTAAACAAAAATATTCTTGGAACTGGTCAAAGTTATGACCAGCTGAACAAATGTTTAATGAAACACATCAAGAACTATGTCTGCCTTAAAATGTTTTATATAATATGCAACATTTATCACATTGACCTACCTTTGCTTTTTGGATGTCATCTTCAGCTACAAAATGAAGGAAAAACTTTAAATTGAATGCTTATTTGGTCATCCAGTGCACAAAAGGGCTCAGCCTGTCTGGCAGAAACCAGTGAATAGTCCCAAAGACACCCACACAAAGACTCACCCACACTAATCCTGTGCAAACTTGACACACTCCATTAGAGTTTTGTCGGATTAGTCCGACAGCCCGACAGGATTACCATGGTGTGATTCAAGAGAACTTGATGCACAACGTTTTGCCAGCTTACAAAGTTCCCCAACTATATCAGATTATTAATAAATCTCTTGTCCACAGCCCTCTTTCGCATATTTTCTGGCAGATTGAGGGTTTTAAAACTTTAGGAATTCCTTCTTGGATCTGGTTTAAAATAAAAGCTTTCTTCATTATACAGCATTGAAACAGACACCTGGAGATTTTGGTTGAGAACTGATTGCTGTTCATGATTTAATCATCTTTAAAAGTGAAGATCTCAAAGCATGACGCTGACACCGCCATGTTTTACCATGTTGTTGCCGTGTGATTGTCTGTACTTTCAACAAATCATAATATATTCGCTATCAAGGGTTGGAGAAGTTTTAGAAAGGACTCTTTGTTTTTGTGTTTGTTTTGTTTTTTTAATTAATTTTGTAACATTATTCATCATCCGGTCATATTAAGAATCAAAGAGATGTCTGTCTTCATTGTGCAACAGAATATGTACATCCAGTTTGCATGTGATTCTTATTACTTTTTAGCTTCACTGTAACCGTTCTGCAAAATGTGGCTTTAGCTAGAAAAGTGTAAATGAACAAATATCAAGAACACATCACCAGAACAACATTTTTCTTTTTTATATATAATTAGAATTGAAGCACAGCAACTTCCAAAGTTTTTATATTTTTTTACTATACAGTCTTGATTTATACTGGTAATTCCATTAAGACCTGTTGGGTTTTGTGGTCCAATTGGTACAATATAATTTATTCAACATTTATGTGAAAACGCATGATAAAAAGTAACAATATGATACAGTAATGAACGTAAAATATTTACAAGAATTTCAAATATTTTTTTTTTTGATTCATGTTGCCCTCAGTCAACACAAAACAAAACCATGTGCATTGTCCCAACCACAATGGTGCAGACTATTTTATAAGTGAATACTAAGGGAACATAAATAAATTAAGCACTAATGCATTTATGTTTTGACACATAAATGCGGTGCTATTACAATAACACCTCGATGTTGTTTGCCAACCGCCATAATAAAAAGAAGAACGCCTTAACGAGCAGAGCCAAAAGGTTTGGATCATTATCCTAAATCCCACCGCTGTGTTCTCCTCTGTGACATCTCCGCTCCTGATTGGCTGATCGTCACGGGACCTCACAGCTGATTCGGTTGGATGGAGTGTTTTCCTCCGACCCGTTCGTCATCATCGTCTCGTGTAGCCATTTCTGTTTAGCAGAGAAAGCCCAGCAGACCCACAGCTCTGCCAAAATGGCTCAGGCCAACTCGTTTGAGGCGAGCAGCTCTCAGATTCAGGTGGAGCACGATAAAAAGCGTCGGCAATTTGTCATAAGGCTGAACGGTAGGCTCTGAGTTTCCGGGCTGGCTCAAGGCGTTAGCTTTGTATCGTTAGCTTCCTGCTCTGCTAACATTGTTGTCGTTCCCCCTCGTGAAGGACTCCAGCTGCCATTTCAGGCACAGCTGCTTTCTTCAGCTCATGACAGTGGAGCTTCACAAAAGCTGGACTTTTCCAGAGGCTTCTTGACTAATAAACTCAATCAATAACCTAATCAGACCCATTTTTTCTTGAAATCAAAGGGTCTGTAAAGATGTTTAACTCTTAAGAGGTTGCTTCGTGCATTGTTGTGAATGATGAGCTTTATTTTCCTCATTTTGTTGAGTAGCAGCAGGACTTTTCTCCAGAAGCCTAACATCATATCTGCTTAGCACACTTGTGATTTTTATTTTTGCACGGGCCATATGAGAAGTTGTCCAGGGCAGGATGGTTGGGATGGGAATGGGGATGCTTTAGCAACATATAAACATGTCAATTACTTCCCAAAAAGTTTGATCAAATATATTTCTATCATTCTTTTACCTCATGCAGTTTGTCTGATCCGATTAAATGGATGTAGTCCTCGAAACAATCCTCACACAAAAAAAAAAATGTGTGTGTTCTCAGGATCCCACGATCGAGCGGTCCTCCTGTACGAATACGTTGGGAAGAAGACGGTGGATTTACAACACACAGAGGTTCCAGATGCTTACAGAGGGAGAGGAATTGCCAAACACCTGGCCAAGGTTAAAATTTGTGGATTTGTTATTTTCACTTTCATTAAGGTTTTTTGTGGGGAATTGCAACCAAACGTTTTTCCAGGTATTTCCTATAAGCGATAGAAAATTGGAGAAGGTTGATTGTGTTTAGCCAACCACTTATCTGTTGATTTCCAACCACTTTGCCCTTATATTTCAAAGAGTAAATGATGGCATGCCTCTTCAGATAAGTTCCAGGATATAGGCTATTCTACATATTCGTACATATTTTATGCCTAATAAACTCAAGCTTATTCTCACCTGACATGGTTTCAGTTTAGATCCTTGTAACATTTAGCAACCTCTGTCATTGTTTAATTTCAGGCAGCCATGGATTTTGTGGTGGAGGAGGACCTGAAAGCTCACTTGACCTGCTGGTATATCCAGAAATATGTCAAAGAGAACCCTCAGCCTCAGTACGTTGAACACATCCATCAATGACCCAACAGGACAAGCAAAAAGACTTGAACACAGAGACTGTGTGCAGTAAGTTTTAGGCGGGAGGTTTCCAGGATGCAACAAGAGAAACCTCTGAAGCATTGCTAAACGCAAAACCAAGTGAACGCAGGTGATCTCAAACCAGAGCTGTAGCGTCGGGTGGACGCGGACCGCTGGAGTAAATCGTGCGATCTCGACTTGCAGAGTCAAAGCAGCCCAAAGGTGGTGGCTTGTCCTTCCAGGACGTCACCCCACCCCTGACTTGAAGCAAAAGTTGCTTACAACAAATTGATGTCCTCCTTTTCACTACAAGATAAGACTGACTTTGTGTCTTTTTGCAGTACTCAGATGAAGAGAAACTGTCACAGTTACACTTATAATGTTTTAAAATCATGTTACTTTTAATATTTTCCAATATTACTCATTTTTCTCTTAGTACAATAAAGTAGTGCTACTACTGAAGAGTCTTGGATGAAAAGACATTTTTAAAACCCGGCTATAATTTCTTTGACTGAAGAAGATGCATTAGGGATTACTTTATTTCCCTTTATCTTTTTTAAAAATATTTTTGGAAACAGTTTGACTACAGAAGTGCAAACTGAACATATCTATTCTGACTGTGATACAAGAACTTGAGGTTAGAGACACTGCTATTAGTCAACACTTTCGCGGGGATATCTATATTTACTTCAGCTCAAACCAGCATCAGTAGCGACACTCTTTAGATTCAGGGCATTTTTTTTTTATTTCTTAAAGTGTGTTAATTCTTACTCTCCAATTCAGGAAAATTAGCTTTCTCTTCTCACCACAGAAAAAAAAAAACTGAGAATTTGAGATTTTGCTGTAGACAATCGTCGGTGTTGAGGAGACAAATACCTCAGGCTAACTCGACACACTCCAAAACACTTTCTACTGACAACTGCAATAAAAATCCCTTTTTGTATAACTTTCATTTGGTGGCATAAGGCTATGAACTGGCCAAGGCATTATTTTTTTTTTTTTTTTGTCTTTTTTATGTGGGTTTCTTTGGGTATTTTTGTAATATTTGTTTTGTATTGTTAAAACAATGCCTGATATGTGCTCTGAGCAGGTGGCTCAGTCTGACAGATTTGTCCACATGTTCCTGTTACGCTGTTTCATACTTGATATTGTTTTCTCTCTACTTGTTCTGAATAAATGACTCATCTACTCGTCACAGGTCAGTTTGTGGATTTGTTGAAAAGTGTGCGTCTAGGTCTCAAACTCCAGTCCTGGAGGGCCACTGCCCTGCAACTTTTAAATGAGCCTCTGCTGTATCACACCTGAATACAATAATTAGGTCATTAGCAAGACTCTGGAGAACAAGGAGGAGGTAATTAAGCCATTTCATTCCAGTGTTTTGTACTAGTGGTATATCTAAAAACTGCAGGACAGTGGCCCTGGAGGACTGGACTTTGACAAGCCTGGTCTAAAGGTTGTAGAAATTTCAATTTGATGAAGATCTCATTAGGGCTGAAACTTGGACATAGATGGGCCAATAAACATGCTACCAGATGAGTTAAGAAGTGGCTTAAGGACAATAACATTAATGGCAAAAAGTGGTCATCACAAAGTCAGAAAAAGGTTTTGTGGGGGGAAAAGGCAGCCAATAAACATTGGTCAGAATCCCAGCAGCAAACTATTTTGAGAAACTTTCAGCAAATAGAAATGTTTTCTTGGTCATCCTAACTGACGTCAATCTGGAAGTAATGTATATTATTTTATGCATGTCTGGAGTATTTCAAATAGTATTAAGGTATTAAAAATGCACCTTCAAAAGAGTTTGAGAATATTAACTCGGAAATTAGAAATTTAACACTTTAGCCTTGCAGCTATATATAGCATGAAGTCTTATTTGTATTGATACGTGATGCGTGCGTCACGCTGGCTGCAACTTGAACCTGTCACATTATTGTTCGCTGCGCAGCGTGTGGTTCAAAGCGATCTCACATTCCTGTGCGTAGCCTTTATCTTTGTTGCATCCACAGAGCGTCGGGTAACGACAGGCGGACAGAAGCCTGACACACGCACACATCCACACAGCACAATATGGGTGAGTGTCCAGAAATATACTCATAAAGCCGCAAACCAATAGAAGATAGCGGGTATGTACGATATGCCATATTCTGCTCCTAGAGACTATATGTCCATGTTCTGTTTGCATGACTACAGATTTAAAATCTTTTTTTCTCCTTTTTAGCTTATGCAGTGTAGTAAACTCTATTTTGTCAAATTAAGTAGATTTACTTTAGTTATTTTCGACAGGTTTAATAAAGAATCTCGCCTGACCTCTCAAACTTGTTACAAAATACGTATAGCAAGTACACGTAACCTCAATGCATCATGGGAACTGTAGTTCAGCAAATAAGCCATACCCACACATTCCGCAATTTCATTCACTACAACACCCAAACTGCTGAGCGCGACTGTACGTCAACCGAAATCACAGTCGTATCTTCCAACATGGCGTCGCTGGGAAGGAGGCGCGGTGTCCCAGTAAGCAGGGAGAGGTCAGTTACTCCAAATTTTGGCTTTAATGTCAATTTATTTATGCAGGATATAGAGTTTTGTTAATGCCATATCCAGTTCTCGAATACGCACCTTATTCGGGGTTCAAAAGTTTTGCGCCAACGAGAGAAATTTTATTTTTTTTTTAGCCATGGTTAGCTGTCGTTAGCTACCGTGGTTAGCAGAAAAACAAACTAGCTGCTCGAGTGATATTCGGAGTATTTCGGGCAAACTGTTGCAAATGTGGAGAGAAGTTGCATTTCAGCATGAGTCTGTTCGGAGACTAGTATGTTGTACCGGGGGGGACGCTTGGTTTGAGGTCTGGCGGGGCTGCGAGAGTCCGCGGCTGGGAAAGTAATACGGTCCTGAACTTAACTGGACAGTCCTCCAAACTTTTAAGCATACAGGCGACTGAGGTGCTTATCTAGCCGCCGCTCGGGGACATTATGTTCCTGGTTAAAATCGTCGGGGAATATGTAGACTGTCACCCACGATTAACAACCTTCTGCCATTACACTTGGATGAGTTTTAATCGTTTGATGTTGAGAGTTTGATATTTCCTCGGCGGGATCTGGAGGATCTCGGTGTGAAATCAAAATGCAATAGAGCAAATTTATTTGTCACCACTTCACATGAGGTTGCAGTAGGTTTGTTCATAAAATGCTCGAATGTGTTATGATCTTCACGATACGTTGTATTTTATTCATTTATTAAAATATGTTTTAATAGCCTTGCTATGCCATATATATTTTACTTGAAAAATAATTTTAGCTACTTCCACATATTCATATTTATTATGAAACGCTGTAATGAATCAAAATAGTGCACGAGCTTCAATTTTGAATTGAGGTATACAATTTTACCTGAAAAAAAAAACATTTAAATGACATAAGAGCTGCTCCATTTATCAAGTCAAAATCCTCTTTGTAGTTTTACTATTTGCAGTATTGCTATGAGAAAGAACCATTTGTTGCAATATTTAATGGGCTGTCCTCGTGCAGCTTGCATAATGTCAACATTCTGTTTGAAATTTAGCCAGCCACATAATTCATGTTGGTCCTAGAAAGCTGAAATTCTCAAATTGATTTACATTAAATGCTGTGAAAAGTTATAATCCAAAATCACAAAAACATGGTTAACTTCCCAAATGTCAAACATTATGCAACTGATCTTTGATTGTTTTGTTTTCATTGGTTAGAATAAATGTCAGTGAATTGGACAGCATGGGACGTAAAGCAGTAGTTTTTCGCAGTAATCTGCAATCAGTTGCTTGCTGCTGCCGTTGGAGATATTTGCAGAAACCAATAGACCTTGTGGATGCAAAAAATATTTTGTGATAAATTAACAAATTCTAGGTTGCAAAGCTTATAGAGTTGTGTAAACTACTGACTGTATTTGTGCTGTCTGCTAATTTTTATGGTAAATAGAAACAGAAACAAGTGGGGCTAATATGATTCCCAGAAATATAGAGTTGTCCAACCTCATTGTTTGCTTCATCAGCCACTTCTGATGGCTCCCAGAACTCCCAGTATGAGCTAAACCGGATGACAGAAAACCAATGTTTGTTTATGCTGTGCTTGTTTACCCTCTGAAGTCCAAACTTGGATCTGAGAATCACATCAAACCCGACTTAACTGTTCCAAGTTCGTCAAGCAGTAATACCCACTAATTATTTATAGTGATTGGATTAACTCTTGATTGCAATAAGCTAATAACATAATTTCTCAACGTGTTGCACTCTCATCCACTGCTTTGACATGTTTGGGTCTGCTTGTTCTCTGAGTAAATGATTACATAAAATTCAAATCATCAGAAACAGATTAATTTTTTACCACAGCTATGACTAACTTCTTTATATAAATAAAATTAAGTAGAAAAAGAATTATTACTTTAAGATCTCTTTCAAGCCAGTGATGGTTGAAAAACTTTGCCCTGTGTATTTAGTAAAAAACAGTCATAAACATTTCAAATACATTTTTTCTAAACATGAAAGAAACGAGTGGATTTAACTAAGGACTTAATGTTGACGACCAGATAGACGTGGCACAATAAGCTGAAGCTTTACATTATATTGTCACAATATCAAGTGTTCGCAATATTCATATCAATAAGTAACCTGTTGCTAATATATAGCAACAGGTGGGGTCAGGTCAGAGGTGTATATTTTATGAGAGGGAATTTTTGTGAAGGGAAAATTCTGATCCCAAATAAAAAATTGATGAGGCAAAGCTACTTTCAAGCAATTCCTATAATTCCTGCATTATCCTAGCCACTCACATTTCCCCCTCCCCAACACCCCGATCTGTTTCTGCGCAGGGCAGTGATGGCCGACTCGAACTGCTACATCGTGCACGAGATCTACAACGGAGAGAATGCACAGGACCAGTTTGAGTACGAGCTGGAGCAGGCGCTGGAGGCCCAGTGCAAATACATCGTCATCGAGCCCACGCGGATCGGCGACGAGACGGCCCGTTGGATCACGGTGGGGAACTGCCTGCACAAGACGGCCGTGCTGTCGGGCACGGTGTGCCTCCTGACGCCGCTCTCGCTGCCCATCGAGTACTCGCGCTACGTGGCGCTGCCCGCCGGCGCCCTCAGTGTGGCCTGCGCCGCGCTCTATGGCATCTCGTGGCAGTTTGACCCCTGCTGCAAGTACCAGGTGGAATATGACAGCCAAAAACTCTCACGGCTGCCCCTGCATACGCTGACCTCGTCGACTCCAGTGGTTTTGGTACGCAGGGATGACGTCCACAGAAAGAGACTCCATAACACGATAGCGCTGGCTGCTCTGGCGTACTGCGTCAAGAAGATCTATGAACTCTATGCGGTATGAGCGCGCTCTGAAGAGAAGTTAAAATAAAAAAAAAAACCATGAAAACAGAGAAAAAAAAAATCAACCATAACAACAGAACCTGCAAGTGGGAGGCTCAGCCGCTAGCGCCACATGTGGCGGGCACTTCCATGTAAACTCTGATCAGAGGGATATAGTGAAAACTAGAGAGAAGTTCTTTTCCTTTACTTCTAAGTGACGACAACACATAGTCATTTTGTGCCACTTCCCTTCTCCTCTCCACCTTTGGCCCCGACACACAACGAACGGGTTCAACCAAAAGGGAATGGCTGCAGTTCCTCTGGACTGAATCGCTTTGGATTTGAAATTGGACAATGTGTTTTATGTACCAGGCTCTTTTTTCCTTTCCCTCGAAGTTTTGCTGTACTCCTTTGTCGCTGATCATTACACCACAGTTTCATTAAACATTAGGATATTTCAAACGTACTTTTCTGTATTTTTCTTCCCCCCATTTTAAATCGATTCCCTCTGATGTCTGGAAAAGAGCAAGAAGCTGAATCACTGATTGTCCTGCTCCAGTGAACTGGTTTTAATGAATCAAATTAAGGTCACATGAGGAGCTGATGCAGCTGTACATTACATTAACATTAAGGGGAGTCACAATCCAGACGCTGTTGAATGCTGTAGACGTTACACTGACCTGAGAAGCTGTAAACAGAAAACTAAAGCTAAGGGGAAGTAAATGGAATAAAACAGAATTCAGACATAAATGTGTTGACTTTTCTCTAGAAACTAGAGTCATATGTGAGGTTTAGTTCCTATAGACAGCTGAAATAACTCATTAAACACGGGGAATTGGTGCACTCGTTTACATTTGTTTTTGAGCTTCCTTTAGCCAAATATGATCAAAACAATACAAGCTTTTAATCAGAGCATCAATGTCCTTCTGTTATTCCAGAACCACTTTTGATGTTACGTTTATAATTGTCCTGTTGAAAAAACTAGTTCTATACCATCCGACACCAGACCTTCAGGAATAGAAGGGTCCATAAGTCGGATCTTCCTAAAAACAGTTTAACGTCATCATGGACTGGGAGGGCAGCCACCAAAAATAACCCCCTCCTTCAAAAGCTTCACCTTGAAGCGCAACTTCAGTTGCACCTGTGCTAAGAGTTCTGGAGTACAGTTTGATGGTCACATAAGACAAAAATTGGGCTTTTTGGCCATAAAGACGAGAAGTGTGTTAGGAGGATTCAAGGGGAGGCTTTCAGACCTAATGACCAGCTGTCAAGCATGGTGGTGGCAGCATCATGTCTAGGCTCTATTTTTGCTTTCCTTATAATAATGAAGGAAAGCAGCCTCTTTCCATTTTGCTACACCTGACGTATTCAAATGTAGGGATTCAACACATTAGTCCTCACGTGAACCTTTGCTGTCAAATACATAGGCTGATGGAAGATGGAGAGCAATTAAATATCCTCTTAGTTTAAAATGTAAATACATTAGAATTTTGTTATGCGCCCCTTTACTGCAGCAACGCCTCTGTGCATTCTGGGAAACAACCTTTGCAAATTAGGGGAGGAATGGTGAGTTAATTCTTTCTTAGATGCTTTGCAACCAAAACTATCCAGGAAAATGTTGCAGTCCACAAAGAGTTTATAGAGAGACATTTGATCTGATATTTCTGAGCACAGCATGTCCCAACCATCCAAAACATTAATTAGTCTTTGTGGGCAGCTGATCCACCAACAAACGAAAACGATAAACTATTTGTTTTAAACTACAACTACAACAACAACGAGAAGCTCGCTTGTATCGATGACATTCTTCATAAATGTCATTGACGCCAAACTACGCTTCCCACAATCCTGCGCGGCAGCCTGTGCGCAGACCGATCCAGCCCGTGGAGAAACACGCGGATGGTTTTCGACCAAACAGGAAGTGATGCGTTTTACTCGCGCGCCCCTCGCTCTTCTGTAGCCCTCGAAATCAATCCAGGTGAGTTTCCGACTAAACCTAAGCTGACAAGCTGTCAACTGCCCTCAAGCTTATTTGATTGCAGCTGAAGTTCGCGTTACTGTTTTAGTCTGTAGAGATAAACTGGGTTCATGAGAGTCGTGCACGCCCCTGTCAGCATGTAATGAAAAGCCTGCTATACATTTCAACATGTTAAAATGATTAATAAAAACATGATCACCTCTGCTGCCTCTGATAGACTAAAGGTCTTCCTTCTCCAGTGATGACTCAAACACCTTTTAGAGGGAACTTGCTTTCTTAGTCAAGTCCATCTGTTAATATCTTGGAAAACTGTGTCTCAGATGTGAAGTACTTTATATCAAATAGTGTTTCATCATTACTATTATTATTAGTCAAATCGTTATCATTATTAGTCAATCTTATTTTGCATCAACTTTACTGCTTTAATTTGCCTCGAGTTGCAAAGTGACCCTCAACTTCACTTTGTTTTAGCCTTGAAACAAAGTATTGTATTTGCATCATTTTTAATTGTCCTTCAAATGGCTCAGAGTGTCAATGATGACAGAGCAGCATTTCCTTTTTTTTTCTTTTAACCCTGATTGAATTAGAAGCATTAGAATGGTTTCCTTAAAAAGCGGGTGGTGGTTGAAATCATTTTTCTCCCACAGAGCATGCTTACTTCCAAGGGGGTGAGTGTTGTAATTCCTGCCTTGCATCACAGAAAATTCTGGATGCCTAAAAATGCCCAGCTGGAGGCAGAGCATCTCCTAAAGACGGATGGAGTAATGATTCAGGGCAGTTTCTTCCCTGAATGGCAACTTCATGTTTCTTTCTTTATGTTTCATGCATTGAAGTTCTTTTTAACCAGTGAAACTGTGTAAGTATTATTATTGGAAATTTATTGACTTCTGTACAGCACTTGAGGACTTTGAAGCACGTCTTTTGCTGGTTACTGCACTTTCTGTTCAAATAGATTAAATGCATTAATTTACCAACAGGAAGTGTTATCATCAGACACAAAGTGCACCATGGGAGGAGCAGTGCTTCCTCTGGTTATAGCAAGTGTGGGAGTGTTGCTGGTGTTCCAGATCCTTCTCCGCCTCAGACGGGGAGCGTCCGTCCAGGGTGCAGTCGTGGTCATCACAGGAGCCAGTTCTGGGCTTGGAAGAGGTCAACCTTTCATTCATTTTCACTTCAGATGATCAGGACAAAGTCTCCTAACAATAGCTAACTATTTTTTCTTTATTTTTTATTTTTTATGGTGTAGAATGTGCACGAGTCTTCCACACTGCAGGCGCTCGGCTTGTGCTGTGTGGAAGAGACGCAAGTCGCCTGCAAGAGGTGGTGCAGGAGCTCAGTGGAAACTCAGCAGACGCTCAGCGCCAGGTAGGCAGACGTCCATACAAGCTGTGAGGTTTTATTCTCATCAAGTTGTATCTTGTCGCATAAAAGGGGAAACTGGTATAATTACTTTTAAAGTCTGTACTGTTGTTTTAGTGAGAGAGGGCAACATTCTCTAATCTCGAGGGGAACAGTTTGATTTGCCATCTGTTTTGTTCATCCTGCAGACTTTCGCTCCCTGCTCCGTTGTCTTCGACATGGCCAAAGCAGACTCTGTGGGCAAAGCTGCAGAGGAGATCCTGAAATGCTACGGACATGTGGACGTCCTCATTAATAACGCAGGAATCAGTTACCGTGGCAGCATACTGGACACCCACATGTCTGTTCACAGAGATGTTATGGAGACCAATTACTTTGGTCCCATTTCTCTCACTCAAGGTTGGTAAAGAGTTTGAGTGGATTATCTAACATCCATTTCATTTTTACGGCCTACATTTTGACATCAGGCTGAATATGGAAGCAATTAGATCAATTTTTTTCTGCGAAAGGATCCATATCACTAACTTTTAACACACTAATTATTTTGGTGGCTTCTATTCTATAAGTGTGGCTTCTATTCATATTTATCCTTTGCTCAGTTGATACTTTGTAGAACCACTTATCATTTTTCCGTCTCATGCAGCTTTACACAAATACATACTGAAATTTTGGTTTTTCTTCTTTGTGCAGCCAGAGTTCAGAGTGTTTGTGAGCAGTCTTGTCACAAATTCTTAACAGGATTTAGGCTGAAACTTTGATTAGGCCATGAACATGCTTTGATCTAAACTATTGGTTGTAGTGTTGGATGGCAAGACTCTGAACTAGTCTTAAGGTTTTCTTCCAAGATTGACCTGTATTTAGCTCCTGCCATTAACTCTCACCAGCAACATACACAGCTTTGTTTTTGGAAGTTTTTTTTCCTTTGTCTACAAGTGTCCTAAACCCAGTTTGAAAGCAAACTCTTAAAGAGTGAGAAGCTGAAGAAAACTGTGTCAACATGATGCATTATTGTTGTCTTTGCAGCTCTCCTGCCCGCCATGGTTCAGAGGCGCAGCGGCCACATCGTCGTCATCAGCAGCGTCCAGGGAAAGATCAGCATTCCTCACAGATCTGCTTGTAAGCATTTTTAGTTTTACTCCTTCAGGACAACATTATGTAAAATAAGCGCCAATATCTTGTCTTTTTCTTAAATCATACGATCAGATGCAGCTTCTAAGCATGCCACTCAGGCCTATTTCGACTGCCTGCGGGCAGAGATGGGGCACCTGGGTATCCCAGTGACGGTGATCAGCCCTGGGTACATCAGAACCAACCTGTCTGTCAATGCTGTAACTGGAGATGGATCCAAGTATGGAGGTGAGGCATTCAAAGAGTAATCACTGCCTTATTGACCGGAGGAGTAGATTTAAAAGGATGGAGCAGTTGTCAAATGACTTGATGAAAGTATCTGAACTGTTTTTCTGTATTAACATCCAGTTATGGATAAAACCACGGCGTCGGGATGGGAACCCAGAGATGTGGCACACGAGGTTCTGAAGGCCGTCCGTCTGAAGAGCAAAGACGTGGTTTTGGCCGGACCCCTGCCCACGGTGGCCATCTATCTCCGCACACTGTGGCCCGCGCTCTTCTTCAAACTCATGGCGTCGCGGGCTTGCAAAGAGCAGAAACGCAAAGACGAGTGACGCGGCAGCTACAGGGGATTATGTATGAGTGAGTTGGGCCAAACTGAGACTCTGGACGCTTGAGGTCAAACGGATTTGAAGTGGACAGAGTGAGCGCTTAGGTAATTCTTCACGCTGCTGGACCCGGTTCCGGGAAGCCAGCGTGTTTTTTTGCATAATGTGGGATGACTGTTAAAATGTTCTGGAACTGATCAGGTGAGCCCGGCTGCTACCTGCTAGAAATGACCTCTCAATATGACCAGAAATCTATTTCAATGTCATTTGTAAATGCCACATCACTATTTATCATAAACAGAAGTATTAGAGACCAAATGAAACAGGAGGCGATGTGATATCAACTGCAGTTTTGTTAAATGACTAAATAACCTGATCACAATGAATAAAAATCTCCCATGTTTTGGTTCTGATCCCTTCAGCTTAGTTTTCAGTGATTCGTCTGAGTTTTTCAGACATTTTCTCCTTAAGGGAAACACTGTTTATCTCCATTTCCTGTTTAACCACAGTAATGCACTTTCAGTCTCCTGCATTCAGTACATTTCTGTTGATTCACTGTTACTTTCCAATTTGCATACAATTTGGAGGTGTGTGCACACACACTGATGTCAGGCAAATATAAACCCTTGGTTTATTTATTTAAATTGGTGCGGTGTGAAAGGCTTGCAGCTAAATGAACGTTTTCACAACTTAAAGTTCACCTAAAATCAAAGGTGTTTTAGTATTTACGGCAGATCTACGGATCCGTGAAAAAGTCGAAACTCTTGAAACTGCCATCAACGTCCCACGTCTGGGACAATTAGCACAAGAAACGACAAGCAGATCTTGCATCTCTCTTTATACACTGAATAAAAACAGCTCTTACAAAACTTAAAACAGGTTTATCCTTTTAAGATGACACCTTAATATTAAGTTAAACAGAGGAAAAACACCTTAAGAAATGTTAATAAATAGTCCAAATATAATTTTTTTACATTATGTTACACGGGCGCAGAGAATATTGGAATTAACATTTGTACAAATCCTTCAACAGAAAAAGCGTTCCAGATGAAAATACAAAGCCTGCCTTTTATTCCTTATACATATAGAGAGACTCTAGTGTCACAAATTGAAGCTAATTTTTGAATGTCCTCCACATCGCAGAGCTTCCACAATGTGAAGTCAAAGCCACCGAGGCGCTAAAAAAACGCGACATCTTCAGATTACTTTAGTGGAATGATGATAAAAAGCTGTCCTGCAGTTTGTACTAACGTATGACGCCGCGCAGAAGATATTCGCAAATATAAACCCTGAATGCACCAACTGTAGGCTAACAGCAGGATACATGTTACAAAACACTGCACGGATAAAGAGGAACCTGTTGTCTTAATTAGAGTGACATGATGTCAAAGTACGAACAAGTTCAGAAGCCAATCTTGTTGATTTTAGCAATAGTGTTTTAGTATAATTTAGTAACAGTCAAAGGGGGATTAATCTTCAGGGAGTTGTTTTAATGATGAAAAAGGGGGGAAAAACTTAAATTAAGCAAATAATCTATTATGGGTTTAGTGTTTGAGTCATTACATTCTTCTGTTTGCTTTTATGCTTTTTCAGTTAAGTGTAAACTAAACAGAAACATGGCTGATGGGAGGGAAAAGCACCACAGAACAAGATTCACGGTTAATAATCTCGATAATCCAGGTGCGTTCATATTGGAAAAAGCATTCAAAATCTGCACAATTCATACAAAAATAAAGCGCCAGCTAACGAATGTAAAAAAAAAAAAATTTAAAAGGACTAAAAAAAAAAAAAATTTGCTGAAATTAGTCTTTTCAGCTTCATGCCAACAGCAAACCATCTGACAACCGACACTGCTATTTGAACATTTGGTTGTTTTTTTTGTGATCTGCAAAATACTGACAAAGCAGCTCATCTCAGCTGATTCCAAGCCTGCAAGCTACAAAAATATCACCTAATTAACGAGCTGCCATTCGGTGAGCGGCTGTAAGAAATAAAGCCAGGTTCAGACAGAGCGAGAAAACTCGAACGGATATGACGAACGTGCGAAATGTGGGGCACAACGATGGACGCCGTCGCTGGACTTTGCTACACGTCTACAACTTCATTAGTGCGAGCGCCTCATCGTGCTCAACCTACGACTTACTGCTAGATGTTTGACAGAAAGAAATAAACCACACTTCAGGTTGGGCTCCTGCACATTTTGATGGTCTTCCACATTTTCGGGGATCGATGTAAGAGTAGAAAAACACACGAGACATATGGAGGCGGATGAGACAGACTGGTAGAAATATTTTTGTTCGGATATGGCATAGTATTCTTGTAGAAGACGAGGCTGTGTTTTGTAAACACGGTGATTCATCTAAAGTGTTTATGATTTTAAAGGGTGTTGTTGTTTTTTTTTTTTTCTTTTTCTTTCTTTTTACCTTAAAGAACAGTTCAGAGGAAACCAGAGCTCTGGCTTCTCTGTTATTATTGCACTTATACTCCAGGGCAAGGATGGCTTTGAGGGGGAGGTCAGGCTGTCTCCGCGGCGGTCCGAGGCGGTGGGACAGCCGTGCGTCCTCCAGATGGCTCTGTTCGTCACGGAGGAGGGATGGAGGGCTCGGTGACAGCCAGCTCCTGAGCCAGGTCGTTGAAGCGAGCGATGTAGTCCACGCTGCTCTCGCTCATCATGCAGGCAAGCTGAGTGTCCATCTGCAATACCAACCATAAAAAAAAAAAAGATAAATTAATATTTAGATGGCAAAAAGTGCCTAAAGCCCTGGTTAAATCATCAGTGATGAGTCACATTCACTAACAGTTTACAATACTTCTGCTGGTTGTCACCACCTTTATTCACCCTGAGATGTGAGGAGACGGCTTGAGGAGTAAATGTGGAAATGAGATCAGGAAGATTGTTATTGTTTTACCTCCGTCACGTCAGGAAGGCCACGGGACTGAAAGGAGTCATGGGAGTTGCAGTCCAGGAGACTAGGACCGAGCAAAGCGGTGCCGCTCGAGGGGCCAGAGGGGGTGAGGGTGGTCCGCCTGCTCTTATCAGGGGAAACCATGCTGGCTGGAAGGGAAAAAAGAAAAGTAAAGCAGGGGAGTGAGTCAATATGCAGAGCAGCAAATATGAGGAACAAAAATGTTTTTCTTTCCTTCTTTTGCCATCGCAGCTGAGATTCTGTCATATGTTAAAGTATAAATACCTGAGAGCAAAGAGGTTTTTAAACATCAACTCCAACTATGATTGTTGTTCTGATTTTACACTAAGGTGATTCAGCATGTTAGATTTCTGACCTTGTGGAAACACAACCAGCTTATTAAAAAGGAGTAATTTATCTATGAACTATAAACTATGAGCAGATAAAAAAGGTTTACATAGGAGGCAGCCCAGCGTGGAGTCTGAGGAGTCGCTGGGGTACCACTGGGGGTCGTGGCTGGGCGACGGGATCCAGCCCCTGGACGGGCTGACAGAAGGAGACGAGGCCAACAGCTTGGAGGGGTCACCGTTACCCAGCTTGGCTGGAGAGAGAGCAGCCTCTTCACCTGCAAGAAAACACGATGCCTTTTTATTACCGCATCAACACCAAGGCAAAGGAAAGGGGGGGAAAAAATCATTTTTAAAGAGTCGGCATGTGGGAGTCCGAATGACACGTACCGTAGTTTGTGGAGTTAATGGCGAGCTCGATTATGGAGTCGCTGATGTGCGTTTGGGGCTCGCCGGGGGTGAGGGCCTCTTCAGGGGGGCCGGGCAGAGAGATGTCGAGCAGCGAGGCGACGCTGGGTGGGGAGAGGAGCGAGTCCCCGCTGCCTGCCCCGCCAGGAGACGGAGGCGGCAGACCGTTCTGTGGAAACAATGAGCGTCATCATTCAGCCCCGTGATAAAACACACAAGACGAAACAGCGTTTCTATGGCGGGTCTCAACAGGTTATCTGCTGAACTGTATGAGTGAGTATTTCAAACCCCAGTCAAGGCTGCAATACATTTTTCACGTAAAAAAAACAAACTCCAAAGTGAATTTATAATTTATTATTTGTAAAATACAAAAAAAGAAAACGGCTACAGAAGCAATTTCTAGTCTTCAGGTTGGATGGACTGAGGGATGGACATGTTATCCTAACCACATATATCTAGCACGAGCAAAAAATACTGAAGTTCACAATTAATTAAAAGTTATGATATTTCTACGACGGGTCTCGTTTAAATCCAGAACTTGTATGAAACAGTAAATAAACAATAAACAAAGATCAGGATGAAGGGCACGAAGAGAAGGGAGAAACAAAAGAACGCCTGGATCTAGGAAAGAAGTTAGTGAGATAGGATACAAGGGAAGAGAGACAATCTTCTACATAAAAACCAACATAAAAATTGCTCTAATAAGTACAAAGGAAATGCAGATATTCATCAAGCAAACAACAAGCAGGGATTGAAAGTGTTAAAGATTCTTCATATGTGCAAAATTCTTCAGTTCCATCATTTTAACCCTGAAAAGTATCTATCATGACTTGACATTAACTTATAAACATCTTTACACCCGTCTGCACATTTATTGCATCAGTTCTTTAATGAGATCAACTGGAAGGTGTTGATGAATATCTATGTGTGTGTGTGTGTGTGTGTGTGTGTGTGTGTGTGTGTGTGTGTGTGTGTGTGCTTGCTGCGTACCTCTGGGACGTTTTGCTGGAGGAGCTGGGCGTCTGGTGCAGCATCAACAATGGGTGTTGCTGTGAGGACGGCAGCGTTGACAGCCAGAGAATCCAAGTCCCGGCAGGGGCTGCCTGGGATGATGCCTGCGGACTTTGCTGCCAGGTCGATGGCACCTGAGAGAGCGTCTATCGGGAACACAGAGTGCACCGCATTTCAGCATTAGCATGAGCATATGAGTGGGAACTGAAAGTAGTGTCAAGACTGGGCAATATAATCCCAAAATGGGGGCCGGGGGAGGAAGTCATGAAATAAATTGTTGAATAAAAATTTGTACTGGAGAGCTGGCTGGGTGTTGCTGAGCTGGACGCAGGAGGTGAAGTTTTGGTCATGGGAGGGCGGGGGGTCGGAGCCAGGCGAGTGTTGATTGGCCGGAAGGATCCGGTTCCTGGGGGAGGAAACAGGAAGTGAGCGAGCAAGCACTTAAAGTTGTTGTGGTAAAAGAGGAAATCGAGCCATTTATTTAACTGCGACTTAAAAAATAAGCAGCTTTACCCTATCAACGTCCAAGAACTGGAACTATAATTACAAATATAGATCACTATGAGGAAAAACGTGTCTGTACCTGTGGCGGAGGAGTTGGAGAGAATGGAGAAGGAGCAGACGTGCTGAGGAGTGTCTCCTGTCGTCCTGGGCAGAAGGGTTCGCTGTGAATCATAAAAAATGCACAAAATTAAGATTTTAAGTAACCAATCAGGCTCATTTTTACTGATCTACGCAGAA